AATAGTTGGAAAAACTTAGAATATGAGTACCTTCTTATTACAAATGTTGGAAATGTTGTCCTTGACTAGCAATACAGGCTTTAGCACGTCGCAACATGTTTACACCGATACGTAAAAAAACTCCGGGAGTTCCACGAACTGTAGCGGCTGCCATTTTCACTTGTTGAAGCTCTTCGATAGTTTCTGGACACTGTCGATTTCCGTAAACTAACTTTTTCATCCAACCTCACAGACAAAAATCACACGAATTGAGATCAGGTGAGCACGTAGGCCAAGCTACTGGGCCGTTTCTACCGACCCACTGGTTAGGAAAGTGGTTATTTCACATTTCAGTTACTGGCCTAGCAAAATGTGGTGATCCTCCATCATGCAAGTACCACATGTGAACTCGTTCACCTAGATACACTTTCACATCTAGCTGCTCTTTCAACACATTGTTTAAAAACTCGAAGTACTGTGCCGCGTTTAGTCTGTTTGGTAAAACATAAGATCCAACTAAGCGATCATTTACGAGCGTATGGATTTTCATCGGACCAAATGAGAGTGTTGTGGTTGTTGAAAACAGCATTGCGAGTGAATTCTGCTTCATCCGTAAACAAAATGCAATTTAAAAAGTTAGGGCGTTCACGACATTGCTGTAAGAACCATTCGAAGTAAATTACACGACGTGGAAAATCAGCGGGCTCCAAAGCTTGCACTTTTTGAACGTGGTATGGATGTAGGCCTTGTTCTTTTAATGTACGATATATAAACTGTAAAACTTCAACTTCAGCTGCGAGTCGACGAGTGATGATGTCGGGCTCTTCTTCGACGCGTTCCAAAATTTGTTCTTCTGCTTGCAGTATTCTTTGGGTCCTATAACAGCCACGATCGTGAGGTTGAGGCTTGAAGGTACCATGATCTCGTAGATGCTGTACCACTGATGTAAATATTCGCGCACACGGAATCGCGCGATTTGGAAAGCGCTCGATCCACAATTAGCGGGCCAACCTGGCGTTTCCCTCAGCCACACCATAAAGCATTACCATGTCAACACGCTCTGAATTGGAAAAATTCCCTATTGTCAAATACGTTAACCGAACACACGACGGCGACCATCTGATACATAACTGGCCCTTATTGTGTTTTTGCACGTTGCGTATCAGTTCTTAAACCTAGTCGTGCTGTGCCATTCATTGGATAGTAGTTAAGAAACACTGCCAGTAGCGTGTATAGCAATTTATATTATGAAAGAAACCGGTACGACGCCTATGGGTTCTAGTATGACTCATCGTCGATGACGGCGGTCAGGCGTCGTTCGCTAAAGAAAAGCCTGGAAGCGGAACTCGCCATGGGTATTCCAGAAACACTGTCAAAATTTATAGGGACACTTGACGCAGTAGAGTAGAGGGTAAAACACAAATTGGAACGACAACTATAGAATGTGTTTTTTTTTTGGGTTGCGTAATTTTTTCCGCTCCTTTTAAAAATGAATTATACAGGTTAGTTTGGTTAATCTTTCTGTAATTAATTAAAGTTAAAGATTGATTCGTTTCTACATCTTGTATGAGAAAATGTGTTGAGAGTCTGTTGGCTTCTTTTTAGTGTGCACTGAACATCGTGTACATAACGTACATCTCAGATAAAAGCGGTGAATGTGGGGAACGAGTATTTAGGCCGCTTGCTTTGTAGCAATTTTCGTTGAATTTGAAAAAAAAATGTGCTTTAGACATAATTTTAGCATCGCTTTTAAGTCTTGTCCACATTGGATTAATGAGTTTTTTCATTTGGTGTCTGTAGGTTTTTGATTCTATTTTTGGTGTTGAATTCAGTATTTTTGCTTCTCAAGGTTAAGAGAAGGAAGTATTGTAAACGGGTCCATCGGGCGACTGGCTATTTTATGTTTTTTCGACATTTTATGACCTCTAGTATACGAAAAAAGTTGTCTCCTGTTGTCCCACCAACAATTTGATGACGTCCAGAAAAATGTTTTTTAGTAACGATCATTAAAATTTTATGTCTTATATTATTCATTAGACACATGTTATGAACCTTCGTAAGTATAGCGATGGTTCAGTGGTAGCACGCCTTTTTTTAATTAATCAAATCAAGAAGGGTTCTTGCTATTTTCCGGAAAATTTAAGAATACAGTACTCTCGTTATTAGTTTTACACAGCACCTTTTCAAATTAGTATAAATCTTCTTGCTAAAACGTTGATGTCATAACAACATCTATCTAATGCCTATTTTCATATTTTCCCGACATTCCTTTCTATCTATCTGTTGTTAGTGTCGATATTTATTGGACAATCTTCGAAATTACTGAAGTGATTATTGATTGTCAAATTTTATAATTCTCTTCACCAACAATTTGTTCACGTTACCTCAAAATTTTGGTTGGTAAATGCTATTTAAATTTTATAAAATATTATACTCTCGGACTTGCGGTACTAGAGATCCAGATTTTGACAAAAATATCCAAATTTTATTTGAATTTAAATTTTATAGTAATGTACGAGGAAAAAAACAATATTTTATTGTTTTTGTAATCATATTTCATAAATATTATTAATTTTTCCCTGTATAAATATTTGTTGGAAATAAAGTATTATTATAATTAATATTATTATTTGTTATAGAATTACCTTATTTCGCTAGAGCGTTGTGGTAATAACACAAAGATGGTGGGTTACACTGTGAATGGTATGATCTATTTTTTTTTATAAAAAAAACGCGGTTTGATTGTACTTTAGGGGTGAGGTAAGTTCTGTACAATAACGTAAAACCAATTTTTTTTACTATATCTTGTCGTTGGGTTTCTTTTGAAGAATTTCTCGAAATTTTGAGTGTCTAGTATTTCATACTTTCTTGTTGTAAGTTGTTTCTTGTTTAATTTTCCTGCGGTTGGACTGTTTCCTTCGATCTTATTTTGGACAGTTTTTGGCTAGTAACTCCGAAACACATAAACGAGAGAAAAGCGTGTTTGTTAATTTGAAACACAAGAAAATCTGAAATGGTTAATTAATGTTTATGTGGTTACACATAAACAACGGTTATTTAAATAACAATTTAAAAAACTACTCCTATTATAAATATAATATTCTCTGTTACGCAGGAAACATTTATGATACCCCAGCATAATGAAACATGCCCTGTTTTAATGAAATGTGTTTTTGTTCCACGGTGGATTGAATATCTCACGTGTTCAATTTTTTTTCTGGTGTGTGTAAACTAAATCGCACCAAAATTCGTGCGTTCCACCTGAAATATTTTAATCCAGGTACGGGTTGATGTTTGAGAGAAAATCGACCCCAACGTTTCTACTCTGAACCAGTTAGGAAATTGTTAGAACATATAATTATCAAATTCAACAAAGCTCAGATCTTACACGAAGTTCTAATATTTAATACCTACGTGCTACATTGTAGTAATATAATCTATAAATAATTTTCGCGGTGTTACCTTTATCCTTGCTGTAAAACTATATGTTTTATTTAAGCTAACTGCCCGTCCAGTGATGTTTATTTTCACCCGCTTAAACGCCAGTTTACATAATCATTAAAGCTGTATTGCGCCATATTTGTTCAAAACGTTTATAAATAAACTTCTCATAAAAGTTTTAAAAGCACGTTCCTGCATTTATGGTAACATTTGCAGGGAAAATACGTTTTTAATGTTGGATACTCTGGTATGTGGACAGTTTTTGCACAATGAAATTTCGAAATAAATTAGGACCTGCTAAGAAGGTAAATATTACCAATAATAGTTTGAATATATTACCTCAAATTATAAAATATTGAAATTACTGAGGGAGAAATTAGAAAATATTGTAAGAAGGCCATTATAGAAATTGAAGTTGTTGGACAATAGTTTAAGGGAAACCAGTACTTTATTGAATTATAAAACTTTACGAGAACGGTAGCAGATAGTTGAATTACTGTTGAGCAATTCTTTGATTTTACTTTAAAAATAAGAAAAAAAAAAAAAAAAATCGTAAGACAAGTATTTCCTGTTAGGGTCGTTGGAAGAAAGTGCACATTTTCCTAATTTTGATGCTCTAGTAAACCACACAGCCCCTATGTGTAAGTGAAATGTATACAGGTATTCAATTCCTCCATGAAGTAGATATCCAATTCCTTCATGAAATATATCGAACGGAGAAGAAATTTTAATCAAGTGCCTAATTTTTCAAAGAACTCTTCATTTTGTATCAATGTAATGGGCAGCATATTATGTATTTCAGTGAAATTTTTTTACACAGTCTAGAACTACAATATTCTTTACAAGAAAAAAGAAAGAATTTATATTTCAAAAAAGCACAGGTTTCTTTGGTGTCTATAATTTAAGCTTTCGATTCTTTGCTCATGTTTTATACAATATTAATTGCTCTTACGTCTAATAGGGTTATTTTTTCTGGTCAAAACATATTATATAGCTTGATATTTTCTTTTTCTTGATCTTGTGAGATTCAAATTCTGTTTTTTTTTTAATCTTCATTAGGAAGTGTCGATGACTAATTCGAAAATGATTGAACTCCGCAACTGATACCAGATACCACATATTTGTGTGGATTTTTTAACGTAAATAAAACTTTTTTTTTTACATTCGTTGTACTCAAATCCAAGTGACTTAAATATTATTATATCGCAGAAGTCAATAACAATACTAATGAAAGGTCTGCACGATGAATTCTAACTATATTGTATTCAAAGTGACTGAAATTGAAAACTAACAAAATTTAAATGAAAAATTTTACGGGCCATATCCTTGATATTTACACCCAAAGACGTACTTCAGGACTAACTTAACACGATCTATCATTTCCCATAAAACGGTCATTCTGGAGCGTCGCCACTTTTATTTCCGATGTAAATTGCGGTGTTAGTGAGCCTTTAAATGCAAAGAGACTTTCATAACTTTCAGAAACGATTCCGAGAGTTTATTTTGAGTATTTACATATTTGTTAAAATTTTCTTCTGTGCACCTCTACTTTTAGTCTCACAACTGTGGTTATTTTTCAGGTCGGTGGTTACGACGGTGCTTCCCGCCAGTGCCTCAGCTCTGTCGAATGCTACTCCCCTGATGTTGATTGCTGGACACCTGTACCCGACATGGGTTGCCGCCGCAGCGGCGCTGGGGTGGGCGTCCTCGACGGCATTCTGTACGCAGTGGGAGGCCACGACGGCCCCCAAGTACGGAAATCCGTCGAGGCTTATGATCCAGCCAAGAGAATGTGGACGCCGGTCAGCGATATGACCTTCTGCAGACGCAACGCAGGAGTTGTCGCCCTTAATGGACTCCTGTATGTGGTGGGAGGGGATGATGGATGCAGCAATCTGTCGTCGGTGGAGGTGTACAATCCGAAGACCGACACGTGGACCATGTTGCCCAGTTGCATGGGTATTGGACGAAGCTATGCAGGGGTTGCGATTATAGATAAGCCGATTTGAAGGTCGCCTCATGCTGGCAACAGGGTCAGTGGCGTCACAGCGACATCTACGAGGTGAGTTATTTGAAACTTTGTTGTGTAGTTGGTAACAAACTATAATTGTTAAAGTTGAGCTCTGTTTAATTGTTAATTATGAACTGATCGGGTTAATGAAGGAGACTATTCAAACAGCTATTCGGCACGGATTGGATTTAACCGCAAAACCAAGTTTGATAATGAGAATAAATTCTGCTATTCTGTACACAGGAAATATATATGTGCAGCGTAAAAAATTGTGCCACGCTTATAGACATTATTTGAGTGATAGGTGTTTTGCTAAAAAGAATTGTACAAAGAAGCCAGAGTCGTGGAAAATTGTATAACAAACCTCATCGAGATTATGTCACTACATAAATATTTTATTTTATGGTGAATCTAATGGATGTTTGAGATAGAATTACATTTAACACGAATGTGGCTTGTGTTTTTTAATATAATATTGCATATATAATTTTTTAGTGATTATTATCAGATAATTACAGTTCAGCTCATTTAAGTATTAGAATTAATATTTAATTAATAATGTATTCTTTATATCTATAGGTATTAATTATCGGGTAGATTCTGTAAGACAATAACTTCAACAATACGTTGAAAGACGTATTTTCAATCTTATCTGCATGTTTTACAACTTGTATTTTCGGATAGTAAATATATTATATTTGACATTTTTAACAATTATTTAAAAAAACGTCTGGTTCACTGTGACTAGCTTTAATACTAAAATTGTCACTGTGAAGGGACCACATTTCTTTTATATTTGTAGCAGATTCAGTAACTGGAGCTATATTAAATTTCCGTGTGGTCTGGTGTAATATCGGGTTTATCTTGGTCTTTTTATTTTTCAGCATCTGACAATGGTCTATTATTAATTTTATTGGTTTTGTTGTTGCTGTAAACGTGAGTAGCGATGACTACCATTTCTAGAAAAAAAAAATTAATACCTAGAAAACTGCGATAGTTTTTTGTTTAGATCCTAATTATGGCTACATTAAATTTTAAGGTAAACCGAGTTTGTAATTAACTCATTGCTAGTGTGGACAGTTATTCGTAATTGAATTTATTTTAGGAACAAGTGGGTGGCTTACAAAGAATGTAATAAAATGGAAATAAGCTTTCGATACAATGAATTGAATTTATGATTTTGTAGCTGAAAAGGATTACTTGTCTTTAATTCTAAACAAAATTTAAAAGTTAATATGCAATGAGATTTTAAATTTGAAAATATTTCTTGAAAATGTTTAGATGTATTTGTAGTGTGGGTGCTTTTCATGTAAGTGTTTATTAGTGTTTAAAGTTTCTCCTGAGGACATTTCGATATTTCTTGTATTAACAATTATTTTGAAACTCTTAAGACTTACGCATATTCAGGTTTGTTTATAAATATTTTCGTCAGACATAGCGGAATATCTTTATAAAAAGTAGTTTAAATTAAAAAAAAAATCGAATTCTAAATTTCGTTGAAAAATTTTGATCTTGAAATTATATTTTTTGTATAAAAGTGAATAATGTAATTGTAATAAATAAGTTGCAGTTACTAAGTGAAACCAGAGCCTTAAAGCTTACGAATTTTTCTTACATCAAAACTATTCCAAAACATATCGGGTGTTCGATTAAAAAAGTCATCAAGTTGGCTTTGATTTTATATAAGCGTTGTGAAGTATGTCTACAATTAACCTAAAATTTAATCGATGACAGCTAATAACGCGGAAATGTCAATTCTATAGAGCGGTGTGAATTAATAAAACACATCAGTTATCTCTTCAAGTTTCTAGACACTTACTTTGTTTACATAATAAAAATGATTTTACGTTTTTCTAGAGGTCTGTTCGTGCTTTTTGAACTTACCGCAGTGTTTTGCGTTTCTAATTATTTTTAAAATTTTGGTGTAAATAATTACATGATTTGATTTGGTTTTAATATTTCCTCGCTTCACTTAATTTGTCTAGTTGAAGTTTTAATCAGTCCTGATGGTTCCTTTGCAACATGAGGTTTTACTGGAAACTTTGGCATTTAAAACTTTATAAATTTCTGAATATTCTCCCACATGAACGTGCAACTTTGTATTAACGTTGGTGCACTCTGCTGTTATTGCAGCTTTAAAATGAACCCGAGCAATGTTATATTTTTGTAAATGAATGTAAATGTAGCAAATATTTTAACGTCAGCGTGTGATAATTAATTCGCAGTTTATTGAGAGTGTAATAAAAAAAAATTGGTCTAAGTTTACTTCGACAGAATTTCTTTCGCCCTTGAAGCACAGTCCAACAAATTCCGCTTCTTTGAAAAATTATAAAAAAAAATGTTTTCTGATAACCCTTATGTCTTAAAAACCAGTGATGTAAATGACACCCCAAATCCTATGCCCTGCGCGGGCGCAAATTCCAAGGAGGCGCCGTCCGTAGACATATGGACAATACAGCCTGTTCTTGAAAGGTACGTACAAAATAAAATTGGCAAATGGTCTCGAAGTATGGGTGCTAAAAGTTAAAAAAAGTTCAGGTAAAAGTGTTTTCCTTTTAGAGATAAAAATTATTAAAATATATGTCCAAATTCGTTGTACGCCTCTGATAAAAAGATCATCTTTCCTTTCTATAGCAACATTTAGTCTTGACAAAAGTTTTATTGTTACAATTGCTAGGATTTAATAAAATAAATTAATTTTACCTATTTATCCTTCAGTAGCGTCTAAAAAGGTTGGATAAGGGTTAATTTTCCCCTTATAATTTTGATAACACAAAATGTATATTGAAAACAAATAACCAACGGAAAAGTGTGTATTATTATCAGTGTACATGCTTAACTTGGATTGTTTTTGTTTATACATTGAAAAAATGTCACGTAGAAATTTTTTCAATTTGAATGAGTTGTCTTCTCAAAACAGAGGACTAGAATTATTAATTAATCCACAGTGGAACAAATGTTCTGCATATGATTATTATTATTTTCATTTGATTATTATTTAATAAAGACCTGGGTATTCTCACATTTTCTAGAAAATGAGGTTCTTAATTTGATCAATAAAAAATTGATCGAAGGTTATAAATGCAGCTTTTAAAAAATGTTATAAAATTTGATTGTACGATTTTCGTTTTGTGATAACCGTTGTCAAGTAGAAATAACACCCCCGCAGCCCCTGCGCTGTACAGCCAGTGTAAAATATATTTAAAGCACATAACTAACTGCATAAAATGTTCTTTAGCACTAGGTAATAGCAAATTGAAGCTCAAGTATTTATTTATATTAATTTATACATCGAAAGAATGTCACGTAGAAATTGGTTTGATTTGAATGAAAAATTTAGTTCTTAAACCAGAGGACTTAAATTATTAATTAAACCACAATGGAACAAATTGTTCTAAATATTATAATTCTTATTTTATCAGCATTATTTATTATTTAAAGATGTGCGTATTTTTCACATTTTCGAGAAAATGAGGTGAATCGTTCTTAATTTGACCAATAGCACAATTTGTAATGAACTCATCAACATGGATAATATTAGTCACAGTACAAGAGAAAAGTAATCACAGCGTATTATCAATGCAAGAAAAAAAAGTAAAGGGCTAAGCCACGACCGCATGTTGCCCTTCTGTTATACCGTACGATTGTTTTTGCGAAAATTTGGCCGTTTAACGAAAAAATTAAAAGCGAATTCGTACACAAGTAGGGGAGTATATTTTTGTGTAACATTCAAATCATTTTAAAATAGAATTCATTGAAATGACGTCATCAAATGGGGTGTTGGTGGGGATAATTAACCAAATTTTAGTTAGTAGCAGATTCGGAGATTACGTGTCTAATAAAAATGGATACAGACGGAGACGGGAGACTACTTTTTTTGGACTGTAGGGGTCATGAAACTTCGAGAAAACATAAAAATGGCAATTCGTCCGACGGATTCGATAACTATACTTTTTTAGCTTACGCTCGGGAAGTAAAAATAGGACGATTACTGTAAATATTTTACCAAATTACAGTAAAATTTTGAATTGGAGCTTTAACTGGAAAAGAATAACCACGAAGGTTGAAAAAAATATATTTATTTTGTGGAGTTAGTAATATATCGGTGATTTCGGGGGTCTCAATATTTTGATGTGCTTATTTTCCAAACCACATTTATTAGTTCGCAGTGCAAATGGTAAAATGTTAAGAAAATTTGTGTATTCATCCCCTCCAAACAAAAAGTTGAATCTCATTTAAAATGTGCAACATAGTATGGCTTGTCTCCACCGATATTTTTAACTTAAGAATCCTGTGTGGTGCAGTTGTGCGAATTCCTTTTTCGTTTTCTTGTCCGTAAATTGGCTCGCCAAAATTTGTTTTTTCTGTTTTGTACTCCAGTGACATAATTTGTTTACAAAATTTTGTAGTTGAAATTTAAATGCCAGAAATGCTTGAATTTTTGTTGTTATTGAAATAATTGACTAAAATCTTGTTATTGCCTATTATGGGTCACCACAGGGTTTTTCTTTGAAAAACTGTGCATGAACATATAATTTTACAGGACACTGTAAACTGAAGGTAAATATTTTCTTGTTCTATAATGTGTTAGAATTAGATGATCAAAATACAAGAACTACGACTAGAACTATTTACAATAAATACAATTTTTTACTAATTTTGTAATGAAAACTTGTTACTGCACCACATCTCTTAGACCATATGGATATAATGTTCTCTATTAAACCTATAAGGTCTAAACAGTAAAAAGTCTAGTAATAATAAACAGAAGTACATGTACAGGAGGATATTATTTTATAAAATTGAAATGGCGATTCTTAAGCAAATTTTAAGGTGACGTGATGACAGTTCGGTATTTTCGAAGATTGTGTGTGTAATAAAAATCTATACAGACGACAAACAGGCGACAGACAGCAGGCACGGGTCACGAAAGGTCGAGAAAACTTGAAAGTAGCCATTTTTTGGATGGATCCTGTTACAAAATATATCTTTAACGTACCCTATATTATTCTAGTATGATATCTACATGTACTGGAAATTTTGAATGAATATTAAAATAAGCAGTAAATCGAAAACAATCTAGTAGTTATAACGAGTGATTTCATTGGTACCTTTAGTATCATGTGTGTACATTCACAACCCAGTGAAACTTTTAGTTATCCTAAACTTCCACGTTTAAGAGCATCAGACCCAGGGATCAAAAAAGAGAAAAGAGCGTTGTATTTACAATACTTGGTGCAAAACGCGTCTATTTTTCAAGACTGTTTACGGGACGTTAACTTCCATGGAAGTCCAAAATCACGACTCGCTCATAAAAATCATTTAGTGAATCCACATTTATATCCGTCTTTGTAATGCTGTAATTACATTACTGAAATTTCCCTTAAATGTTAGGCATCTGATTTGAAAATAAAAAGTAAACGTCAATTTTTCTTCTTCGATATCTAATTCCCCAATTACTCGGTTGCAATTTGTCCTAATTGTGTTTTTAAAAGTTATTAACGTAATTTGACATTCCACGAGTACTTTCCATGCTCTTTCTTTAAGTTGAACCAATTAAAATTAGCGTAATGATTCAGAAAGTTTTTTCCAGATACGCCAACTGCGACGAAAACAGCAACGCGGAAGGCGCCGTCGGCTACGACCACCAGCCGAACTTTTACGAAACCATCGACCCAAACGCCAGCAACCAAGAGGACGAGAACATTTACGAAACGATCGAGGATCTTCGGCAGGACGGGGCGATCCCGCCGCCGCCCCCAGCGCCTCCCGCCGACGACCAGCAGCCGATCTACGACGTGAACCCGGACATGCCGAGCTGCAGCACGTACGGCCGCATCGGCAACGCGTACGGCCGTATCGACATCATCGGCCACGGCATCGGCCGCATCGAGCGCCACCTGTCGTCCTCGTGCGGCAGCATCAACAGCAACCACTACGCCCTCGAGAGCATATATGGGACCTCCACGGACGCCACGGGCCGGATCAGCAAAGTCTCGGTGCAGTGGCTGCTGGCGAACAAGTGGCTGCCCCTGTGGATCGCTAATACCGAGACTGGGAGGGATTACAGGATCATCGACTTCCTGCTGGCCCAGCGGGCCGACAGCGAGGAGTCGCTGGCCGACCACGAGGGGCAGTCCTCGAACGAACAATGACACTCGTAGCTTTAGAGTATATTTTTCTATGAGGTAGGTTAGTCTTTCCGAGAAATGTTCCTCCGTGCGCTGTTTCTGTCGCTTTGATGTTTGATGTTGTGGTTGACGCTAACAAGCTCATTAAATCAAAAGTTTATACCAGAGGTTGGTTATAATTGTATTTAGATAACTTTAACGTCTAGTTAATTAGTTGTTTTTGCTATAGTTATTTGTGTATTTAGCTACATGTTTGGAAAAAAGAAAAAATTGACGCAGCTGCTGCTAGTTTATTTAGATTTTCGTAAGCTAGTGTTTGCGATTCTATTGTGACGAAAAAGACAATATGCGTTGTAATCTCGACGATTTAGCTCCAATATTGTTTAGGTTAGTGAATGTTTTTTAGGTTTTCTTTTTATTTTTATTTATACTGCCACATGTGATATGAGTAGTTAGCTTTACTAATAGTGATGGATTGAAAAACGAAGAAACTTGACAATTTTCTTTTCTTATTGTAAATGTTGTGATTCAGTATTTGGGTGATTTTTTTACAATATGCTATGTCCTAAGATCTATATTTTATTATGTTTTGTAGAATTAGATGATATTCGAATTGAAAAACAAAAATAAAAGTGTTGACAGTTGATTCGGACTACTATTTATTGTAGCCTTCTTTTCCTCTGATTCCGTCAGCACTTGCCATCCTGTGTCATATTTGTTATCGGTCATCAGTATTAAAAATGATAAAATCTGGAAAAATTTGGTGTACTTATCAGTTTCAACTGTGTTACCCATAAAATCAAAATGAAAAACAAACAAATGGGGAGACGCAGCACGTGGGTCTTAGTAAGAACAAGAATTTTTCATTGTAGTAACTGTCCCTTAACATTTATTGGGGTAAAGAAGTACGTAAGCTGTCAGTGAATTTGATTATGTTGAGTGTACTTATCTTTGCTATTTGTTAACATCGTGAACCTGAGAATACATCCAGTCATTTTAGTGGCTTTTTCGTAATATCAACGACAAACTTCACGTTTCAGCCGGCTAAACGTCATCTCCATATTGGACTGGCCTGTGTACACCACGTAGAACAAAAGTCACTCTTGCAAGTCATATTGTTGTTTTGTACTTCCGTCGCTATTATTAGGAATTAAATTATATGCTAACTCAAGTTACTGGTCACATCAAAATGGACGAGTCCATCAAGACATCATGGACCAAATCCCCACAACACATGTATGAAACAAACACAACTGACGTACCTATTAAATACGGCCGATATCATAATAATATGGTTTTGGTACACACTTTGCTGTGAGAGGAGCATTTCAAAAATAAATGTTCAAAATTCAACACAGAACACACAACTGATAACACAAAATAAGCTTATGGTTTTGAGTCCACGATGATATGAAGCAATCTTGTGATAACCCAAACATCCCGCCTTGTGAAAAAAATTGAAAGCCCGCGAAAAATTCAAACATTCAAAAATTTGGCCTTGGCTGTGATCGTCTAACAAATTGGAACCCTTCATTGTGTTTGTTTTCTTTTTGCGGCGGAATGCGTTCAGATGCAAAGTGTGGACCCCAAGTTTGGAAAAGTACCGCTAAATAAAACACAAAATATATGGAGGACATAAAATCATTTATTCCTCCACTGATAAATGAAAAAAAACTGCGACTAAGTTGGTTAGTGGTCAGCTACAAAAAAAAAACTTGCCTAACTTTGAATGAAATCAAATTAAACGTTCTGAATCAATGCAAATATTTGAATATCACAAATTTAATAACAACAAAGAAAAATCTGAGTTAAAGTATCTGGATGCAAATACACAAGTTATTTCGCACGTGTGGCAGCAAATTTGGAATTATGGCAGTCAACAAGAGAACAACATTTTAATAAAACCTCTATGTAGCGGGACGCATAGCGACAGCGGCACCATACCGCTATAAGAGTGCGGCGATCGAACTATAACAATTTCATTCTAGAACACAGCAAAATTACCCATAGGTGGCGTTGTAGCGCTAGCGGAGTTTGGGGCTCCTGGTTGTGGCTGTTCTTCCACAACGACAGTGATTCTACTCTATCGGCAAGCATGCCGCCCAGCACCCCTCTATCACGAAGAAACGTGCCGCGCGAGCAGTCCGTTACGGTCGCAAACTCGTGACTGAAAATCCCGGCTATTGGGCCAAGCCGCGAGCGTCACGTCATCCCGATCACTCCCCTGACTTCTATTCAAGATCCGTGTCTTTTGTGCAGATGGCGCAGAGGGCTCAACTAGGAACCGCGCCCTCTGCTTCTGCCACGTGTTTCTGTGCTATGACCCCAAATCCATTTTAAATGTTCACTTTCTATAACTCTGATATTAAATTACAACCGGACAAGCATTAAAGTTTCAAAAAGAGCAATAAACGACATTTGAATTCGTCATACACTCTCGTGAAATTTGAAACAGCAAAGAATTCTCATCTGAGGTTAAGAGTGGACATCCGAAAATTTATATGATGGAAATGCTTAATCAATAAAAAAAACTAGCAAAGATTTATAAAAACCAAAATGATCTGGTGTGAAGTAAAACTTGTGCAGACAAAAAATTACGTGAGGTTAGAAACTGCAGAGCACGAAAATTTACGTTCAATTTAAATTATACAGCAAAGAAAATTACTGAGGTTAATATCAGCCACACATTATCAACGATTCAAACAAAGAATTTACATGTTGTTAAATTATGCCACACTTGATCAACGGTTCAAATAACGAATTTACGTGATATTAAATTATGCCACACATTATCAACGATTCAAACAAAGAATTTACAGGATGTTAAATTATGTCACATTTTATCAGCGATTCAAACAAAGAATTTATATGATGTTAAATTATACCACACTTTATCAACGATTCAAACAGAGAATTTGCGTGATGTTAAAGTATGCCACACTTTGTCAACGATTCAAACATAGAATTTACATTATGTTAAATTATGCCACACTTTATCAACGATTCAAACACAGAATTTACGTGATGTTAGATTATGCCACACTTTATCAACGATTCAAACAAAGATTTTATAGTATGTTAAATTATGCCACTCTTTATCAGCGATTCAAAGAAATAGTTTACATGAAGTTGAATTATGCCACACTTTGTCAACGATTCAAACAAAGAATTTACGTGATGTTAAATTATCCACACTTTATCAACGATTCAAACGCAGAATTTACATGATGTTAAATTATTTTTTTAATGATTATTTTTTTCAAATCCAAATTATTCAAATGCGATTTCACGCCGCTGTTTTTTTTTTCAGCACAAAATTTTAATTTAAATTTGGTCACCACAATCTTTAAATTAAATTTTGAAAACTGTCAACAGTGTGGAGTCCACACGAAATAAGTTCAACATGCTGAATTGTCGCAATCTGACAAGTGGCTGTCAGTCAGTAGCGTAACGTGCGCACTTGAGCGGGGTTGGTTTTGTTTTGTTATTTACTTCAAAAACACGCCAGTCGATTGCAAATGAACAAAATATTAGGCTGGGAATGATTTACAATTGAACTTATTTTACAATCTCTAATGAGAAGTTATGAAATGTAAATAACAACTTAGAAAAAATCACCCAGCGCTTTAGATATATCACAACTAAAATAGCCAAGCCTGAATAAGTGTGTTTTAAATTAACGTTGACATCATCATCTGTCTAGTCAAAACAATGACACTCACTATACACTTTCCCAATTTGTCACTATTTCGCAATGTCTAAGTTTGATGAATTATTAATAAAGTGATCTTATATGTGCCAATTACACTTGTGGGCAACGATGGTTCTTTATAATTCAGTGCAGATTTGCTTTTTTTTATAAAATTCAACAAACAAAATGCAACATACCGTAAACCACGTCTGACTTCACACATACACTCTCGAGAGCATCTCCATTACCAACTACCATTTAGAAAATGTGTGAATGCATGAAGGCTGAAGTACATTTTTGAAACGTTTTATTCTTTTAAACACGGTTTTGCAGTTTGTTTTTTAGCGCTAAATATAATTTTAAACCGGGACACCACAGTATGTAATTGCGGTCGGTCCCTGGTGTCTCCAATTTTCCAGTTTCTTTCTGTTGCATCAAAAATGGTGAATTTGATTTGCCTGAAATTCTATGTTTATCAAAAACCACTAAACAAATGTACATTCAAAATGCATTAGTGGTGGTTCAGAGGCGAGAGAAGTTCTGTGAAAATAACTTTAGACCAAAATTCCTTTTACAAAAGAATAGTTTGTTTTAGCATTATGTTTTAATTATTTTTGTGCACTAGTTATACTCATATATTATTTTGTTATTGATTTTATTAAACTAGGATGTGTGATAACCCAAACATCCCTCCAAATTAGACATGTGTTATTTTATATTACACATTTGTTATTTTAAACAAAATCCGCGAAAAATTGAAAATTTGGCCTTGAGCGGTGTGTATTTTTTGAAGCGGGATGCGTTCAAATGCAAAGTGATGAACGCCAAGGCTGAAAAGTGCCATTAAATCAAAATGCAAAAT